CGCGCAGATTTTTAAGCTTAAGGACATGTTCAGTTTTCTTAATAGATCTCGACGTCGATAAATTTATATTTGCTATTGAAAATCGACCAATTTATCTTCATATTTTCTTAAATCTTCATAATGAAGTTGAAATTATCCATTTATCAATCTGGTTCGTAAAAAGGAATGTATCCAATATCTTCGGTATGTTTTTATTTGAGTAAACAAAAACCAAATAGCTGCAGCGTCCTGAATGAGTTGTATATTATTAACGATACTTGTTGAAGAAGGATCTCTGCTACATATACAATCACTACGGCTATCAACTGCGAAGTGAGTATTTTAAGTGACGCGGGGCCGCTAGACTGCTGCCCCCGCGCAGATTAAGCCGCGCGTTGACGCAGGTCTGCGTCTCCGCCACCGCGCGCGTGATTCCGCGTCTCGCGCTGCGTCGCGGTGCAGTGTGATAATCGCCTTAATTTGAAACACTACAAAATCTTGATAATGATTGGTGGTAGTTTCAAATTTAAAAAGAAATAAATTCTGGGTTTTAATATAATTTAAATTGGCGTATCGTTGTAAGTTCAATACCATCAATACCTATTATTGCAAATTACGACGTTTAGATATTATATTTAAATTACAATCAATGTACTGCCATCCAGCGGTTAGTTGCTGAACGATGACAAATTGGAGTTATTAATTTAGTTCTCCAAAAATGAAACGACCATATTGCAGGGTATATACTTTACATCCGTTTCTTGTAACAAAAAAAATATTTCGATAAACAGAAAATTGAAAATGTATTATAAAATACGACTTTCCGATTATACGAAATGCCACCACGGGTAATTTTTTGTGGTGCGACAATAATTTTTGATTTCCAATAAGGCATTTTTTAGAATTTTAGGGAATTTGCACGAAAGAATGACCCAACCATACCATACAAAGCCAAAATGGTGGACTGACCTCAGATAGGTCTTTCGAGACCTATGGTTGGCATGCGTCCAACGCTATCTAAACACTTCTACTATATTTATAGTTCTGTGTAAAATGTCAGTAGTCATTATGCTAATATCCTCTTCTTAGAAGAGACCCGTGCAGCAGTAACACGTATTATAAGTTGACCTAAAAGAGCAATAAAAAATCAATACAGTGATTATAATTTATTAATATAAGGAAGATGGCTTTGTTTACAAAAATATTATACGAGGAAGTATATTTTTCTTATATTTTATTATTTCCTAAGCCCGGGGATAGTTAAAGGTGTTTTATTTCCAATAAATTTACACGTCATGATTGAGCGAAACTTTGAGTGTTTCCCTTTTACGTTTGTCTAATTTAAACTGGCATGACAAGTTGTTATGATACGATATTTGCTGCTATAGGTTTACTGTAGCAGCAAATATATAAATAATGTACCTACCTAATCAGTTGTAGGTACTGTTTTAATTACTGGCATCTTAAATAAAAAATCAAATTTTGTCTCGAGAAAATTCTACCGAAAAGTTTGTTGAGGTTTTTGGAATGTAACATCATATATCACAAGCTTCTTCAAATATATAATATTTCTATTGAACGCGTGCCAATAATATAAATTATTGATACAAAAAGGTAACACGTGTGCCAGAAATTAAGTATTATATGACGGTAATAACTGTAAGTGAGAGGTAAAGAATCCTATGGCCGCAAATTCAGAATGGCGGTGCGTGGTGCGTACATTACAAGTCACATGTTTGCGAGCAATGTACGCGCAAATCGAAACCACCGTTGCGAATTTGTGGCCTAAGCGTTTCAAACTAGAAGCGCTGCAGAGGCGCGACAGTGGCGGCAACCGCGGGTCTTCAGCGTAATGTAATAATTTTTGCATCACACTTGGACATAAACAGTGCCATAACAATGCAGGTAAAATCGGCTGTAATATGCTGAATTCTTATACGGTCTTATACGCTCTCTTATACGTCAAAAAAAGCAAAAGTTTTACTGCTCGAAAAATCTGAATTATTTCATACAAGCTTGAAGTATAGAAAAACTAAACATTTGCTAAATAAATTTTAGAAATTCACATTCTGCAGCATTCTTAGTATTTTGAAATTGTTTGTTATATTTCTTTAGCATCACGGCTGTATGCGTTTTTGCCTTTTGAAGCCTTTTATTTCCAGTTGTATTGTGTGTGGAAAAATAGCTGGCCATCTGTTTATATATAAAAAAGACGAGCTATTTGCAAAATATGTAAATTATGTGTTGTGAAGCGAAATTTATTCATGCAAGAAGTAAATTATCATTATATTTATTTCAAAATGTTATAAAACGTTGTACTTAGCACGGCCGGGAAAAAAATTACAAGCCACGAGTCATTAAAGCCCTCAGCGTTCGGCTTCGGGCCTCCAATATCTTCCAATAGACTCTCGTTAGCAATTTCTAATTTGCCACCCGTAATACACACTGTACTATTATTCCACTAATTGCAGTCGCAAGTGGCACGCGCGGTTCGCGACAGTAGCGCTGTGTTGATCACAGCATCATGAGCAGATCAAGTGAAATCATACAATGCCCTCACTTAAGTATCCACTATTTGTACAGCACTTACCCAATAAGTGAGGGCACCGACCCCTACATTAGTAAAGAAATGCCGCCACCGCGGTTTCAAGTAACGCCGCTGAAGCGGTGTGCATGGAAGGATGTAAACAAATTCAAGGGCAACTTTTCTACAGCACTGCAGTGGCGGTGGTACCGCTGTTGTTACGGCGCCGTATGTAATCATCTTCAGTTAACAAATGACAAAGAGGGCAGTATTATACAGGTCATAATTTATAAAACCACTAAAAACGAACCCATTTTATACAATAAGTCAAGAAGTTATTCATATTTGTGTTGATTTTTTAAACTGCGCTTTTAAATATTGTATGAAAATTAGTAGTGGCGCGGCAACAGTGGCGCCACTGTGGCTTCTACAATGTGTTGATTTGCATTGTGGCCTGCTGTTCAGAGGTCATTCTATATACGCAACTAAACCGAAATCACAAATAAATAAATCGAAAAAAAAATTCCTAAATTCTTATTTTTTATTTAATTAATAATAATAACGCACACACTAAACATTTGCGGTAAACATCAATTCGCAATCACCTGATCCAAAGGTCATGGAACTTTTGCACGGCACGTGCTATCACACAGCGAACCGACTCTATTACTCTCTTGTTATCTCTTTGTCAAACGCAAGCGGGCGCCTGATCATCTGTGCGCAGTCAGTCGCGCGTGGTTTGAGAGATATTTGGTGTTCACCAGAACTGTATTACCATCAAGGTAGCGCTCTTTCGAATTATGGACGGCATGTGTGTGACTAATGGGGTGATGTGAAACGTAAAGATTACAGAGTCTCAAACAATTCCGCGCAAAAATCGTCGCCGCTTTCAAGCTTGTGAAGTTAAATGTACCTACTCAAAAAGTTGAAACGAACCTCTCGACAATGTGCGAATTTTTGCAAATCACAGTGGTGGTAGGGGGACACTTCTGGTAATAATTTCGAGTAGGTACCTAACTTAAATTTGGTAATAACCAAATTGAAATTACAAACAAAAAACATTTTAAGTCAACTTCCCTAATTATTGTAAATAATTAATAAATCATAACAATACGTAGTCTTAATACTAAGAAATAGGTAATTAAGCGATCGAGAAAGACTACGTATAGTTCGGTGAAATGCCGAGTGGCCGAGCGCTCGCTCCGGCTTGCTCGGGCCCCGTTGGGGCCATTGCCCGGGCGCAGAGCACATGATTTAAAGTCAATTTTGCAAAACTTTTCTACATACAGTCAGCATACTGAACAGAATATATTTTTTAATATTTTTAGATGATTTTGTATTATTTATATTATTGATTTTTTAAGTATGGCGAGAATGCAAATTAACACTTTGTATAAGCGTCTAATTTGAAGGTGGTCTAGGAGCATCATTTTTACTACAGAGCGTTTTAAGAAGTATGAGACTCTTAATCAGGCAACCAATCTTAAAACCAATCTTAAGGTTAAGTAAAATATGTTAAATAAGAAACGACAGACATAATATCATTTACCATTGCATCATTTTTAGCACTCTTAAACTGGGTACTCTCTAGCTAGTTGCAACAGTTGCATGTCACGTTACCAAAAATCACAGTGTGTACGTGGTACGCAAGCTTGCCGCGAGCGGAACTCGTGCAGTTTGCACTGAGCCGACGATAACCAGGTACTCATTCTTGCGAGTGAAGACTGAGTACACTCTAGTGCCTCGTTACAGTATCTGTCACATCAGGGCGCATTCCCATTATGCCGTAACGTTTTATTTATCGTAGAACGACTGTCGCGTATAACCTGTTCCCTTATCACAACTATCTGTCATGACTGTATTGTAGACGCTTTCTTTTATAATATCATTTTATAAGTGACGGGACGAATAAGTCGTGCGCCTGACAGTAAGCTACACGCCTGTCCATAACAGTTGCAGTGCCAAATATAGCTTTAAAACGCAAAGATCTGAGGGGCACTGTCACTGCGCCCATCACCCTGAGACATAAGTTGACAAGTCCCATGTGCCTGTACTTTCACCAGCACAATGACGCTTCAAACCTGGAAAACAGTAATGCTGACATTACTGCTTGGCGGCAGAAATAGGTAAAGTAAGGTTAATTTTATCGTTGAATGACTGTCGTGTCTAGCTGTTCCCACTAGATCGTGGCGACAATTTATCGGTTCATGACAGGATCGTTTGAAGCTGCGATTATCTGTCGTCACATTTTTATCGTGACGTTTTATTTATCGCCTGACGACTGTCGTTCCAGCCCTTCCCATTGTCACGACAGTCTGTCGTCGTAAAGTCAAAAAAGTCGTGAACATCAGTTAATTGTGTTGTTCTATGTGTGAACAACTTCATTTAAATATACAAGCCACGACACTTAAACTGCACTACTATGTGAGTCACGACATAATGGGAACGCGCCCTTACAGTTACAGCTCGCTAATGAGTACCCGGCTTAAAAGACAAAATCCTTTACCTCTCACTTACAGACATTTCTCTCCTAAATCTAACGCTTTGGCTTTGATCCTCCTTTTTGTCCAGTTTGCGAACTGGATTTTTGGCCACTTAAACGTTGCCCGCTCAAGCGTTGCCCGCTCAAACGGTGCCCGCTCAAACGGTGCCCGCTCAAACGGTGCCCACTCAAACGATGCCCGCTCAAACGGTGCCCGCTCAAACTTTGCGCGCTCAAACGTTGCCCGCTTAAACGTTGCCCGCTCAAACGTTGCCCACTCAATTGTTTCTTATCCTTTTGCCCACTCAATTGTTTCTTATCCTTTTGCCCACTCAATCGAGATGCACTCGTAGACTCACGTAGTATACCTGAAATGTAATAGTAATAATATTACTTATTTATTCTGATAGCTAGGACCAGAGACAGGCAAGCGCTCGAGTTTTAACCCGGGGTTTTTAGTTGTAAAGTGTGCAAAGTGTATTTAGTTGTAAAAGGTATTTAGAACTAAATACACTTCCGGACACATAATTCGAGCCACCACGCATGTTTGATTGATCAAAAACTATAATGCAATTTTGAAACTAGTATATTAAACGTCTTTTCCATAAGTCCTTGTTGGGAGTTTGGACTTGCAAAACCGGGGAAAACTTTTTCTTCGATGCTATCACCATTTTTGTATTCTAGCCCTTTACGACAAAACTACGAGGTGGCTGAATTATGTGTCCGGGAGTATATTTGTTGTAAATTGAGTTTTGTTCAAGTTTAATTACATTATTACAAAATGTTATTGTATTGTATTGCTTTCTTTATCTGCTTTATCTAGACGACTCGATTTGCCTTTCTGTTGAATCGATTCTTTTGAAAATCGTATTGAAATAACCGATACAAAAAATTGTATATAAGCGCACTTCTTTCGATTCGCATTTGTTCCGAATACGAGACTATATAAATTTAGAAAACTCTGAACCATATCAGATGTCGCTTGTGCACTAACTTCTATTCGAGGGGACTACTTTCGATCCCCGTCCGACATCTGTCCGAAACAATTATGTCAAATAAGTAATATTCGACAAAATTAAAAGACAAGTATCCAGTATGAAGCTTCATTCGCGTCTTTTCATTTGGTCAAGTATTGCTTCATCATCATCATCATCAGCCTATGGCAGTCCACTGCTGGACATAGGCCTCCCCTAATGCACGCCATTTCGCCCTGTTCTCGGCTTGACGCATCCATTTCCTGCCAGCAATCTTCCGCAGATCGTCACTCCATCTAGCTGGAGGGCGTCCCACACTACGTTTGCCAAGTCGTGGTCTCCACTCAAGAACTCGTTTACCCCAGCGGTTGTCGGTTCTTCAGCAAATATGTCCAGCCCACTGCCACTTCAGCTTGCTTATCCGAAGAGCTATGTCGATCACTTTGGTTCTCTGTCTGATAACCTCATTACGGAGTTTATCTTTCAGAGAAACTCCGAGCATAGCTCGTTCCATAGCTCGCTAAGCGACTTTAAACTGGTGGACTAGCCGTATCGTGAGTGTCCACGACTCAGCTCCGTACGTTAGAACTGGTAGGACGCACTGGTTGAAAACCTTTGTTTTCAAGCTCTGCGGGATGGGTGATGAAAAGACTCGACGTAGCTTCCCAAACGCTGCCCAGCCAAGCTGAATCCTCCTCCTGGCCTCCTTCTTGAAGTTATTTCTACCTAACTGCAGAATCTGCCCGAGGTAAGTGTATTCGGAAACAACTTCAAGAAGGTGGCCATTGACGCAGATGGGTCTCGGATCAATGTGGTCATTGATCATGACTTTGGTTTTATCAAAGTTCATGCCGAGACCAATCCGCCGCGAGGCGGATGCTAGGCTGTTCAGCATCTGATCCAGTTCCTCCAGCGATTCTGCCATTAGGACTATGTCATCTGCAAATCGCAAGTGTGAGTAAGTATTGCTTATTTGGTAGTAATTGTTTCGGACGGATGTCGGACGGAGAATCCGAATCCGAAAAAATACGAATATCGCTTGTACACATTTCTAAACAATTGTGACCTTTCCGACGGTCATTTCTCGGATTCGGAGCTGATACGAAAGGGACGTTGTTCAACTTTGAACATCATGCGTTTAACAATAAAACGCAAGATCGTTACATACATCTAATCTGTCACGAAAAAATGGCCTCATCAGCAGGCAACAATCGTAACATAATTAACTAATTAACAGAAAGAGCTTCGTCCGCAACCAACACGTAGCACACTAAGAAAATTCTGTTTTAATTTACCTGCACGCTATGATGGCCGTTTTGACAGATTACAAAAGTGAGGTCAAATCTCAATTCATTATCGAAAAATATAATCGAATATGAGTCGCATCTATAAGTTTTTAGATTTATAACTAATATTGCAAGGGGTAGCTGATGAAAAAATCATTAAAAATGTTTACTTAATAAGTATATCGTTAATCCGAAACTGCTTTGTTTTGCATTGAGCTTTGACGCGAGTCTGCCGGAGGTAGAAGTTGTGCTGGCCAGCGATCCCACAAGTGACGATGGTATTCATCGAGTATATAACCAGAAATAGAGACGAAATAACGGCCATATATTCCTGGTAACACATTAGCGATACAGCTCTTATAAATATCAACTCTAGTTTGCACTGAAATATAGACAGGCCAGCTACTGACCTGTGTGTACATCTCCAAAAAATATTCTGTATTTATTGTAATAAAGATAATATCTCTAACAATGCCGTGCTGTTCTATTCGGTGGTGTGGAGAAACAGCAAAACATCTAATTACAAAACAAACGGAATCACATTTCATCGGTAATTAAATATTAAATATGCAATTTTGCAATTTTCGTCCATTATAGCACAGCTCAAGTTAACTGGTCGATTTGAAGTGAAACAGTTGACGACACCCGTCAATTGTTTCGAACTCGGGCTCGCCAATCGGAGCGCAGTTGTCACAGTAATGATATGGCAGAATAGTTTTGAAACAAATTAAATGACATTTCGTTTCTATCTCTGGTTATATACTCGATGATGGTATTAGATTTCATTTTTTTCAATTTCGTAAAACAAATGCCGATGTGTCGTAAAATTCTACTGTTAGCTTTCCTGAAACATCTTTATAATATTGTACATTAATATTAGTAATTTGTTTGCGTAAATTCGAGTATTTTGCGATACAGGAAGTAATTGTACTATTTTTGCCTCGGGCGCTTAAAATAATTAATCAGCTGCTTATCTCCGACTCCTCGATAGACCTATTCAATTGTTCAGAGTCTAAATTTGTATTCTCCACGGGACCCTACCTCGAATTATTGACCAGACCCAACAGTATTCAAGTTTAGCTTCACTATAATTTTAATTTTTAATCTGACGTTTTATTAATTTTACTTCATGACGTTTTACTTTATAATTTTCGGTATTACCTTGACATGAATTTGTTTACTATTTACGAACAATGTGTTATTGCTTGTACTATAACTTTACCTTATTTTAATTTATAATGTATTAGGACTTCAGCAACTATTGCGTCTAGATATATTCTGTTAGCAATGTTATGTTTGTACTAGAATGAAATAAATGAATTATGAATTATTTAGCAAAATACATAATTATGACATTCGGAAACGGATGTTGTGACTAGTGTACCGCGTGCTGTTTCTCGATTGTATTAGCATTTACAAGACATCTCTATAAATTGTACATAAATAGTAGTAACTTATTTGTATAAATTTGTGTATTTTGCTATACAGTAACTGTACTGTCTACCAAAATATATAATTAAATAAGATTTGGAAACGGTTGTGATAATTATACGCAGGCTGTTTCTTGCTTGGTGTGGTAACCTGATTGATAGATATCAAGAGGGCTTAAAGGCGGGAAACAGCACTTGCTCCACACAGATTATTACTAAAAATTCTAAGGTGAAGACTGTAATCTTTATATGTTCGTAATCATTAAAACCAAGAAGTCCAATCCAGTATTTAGTTATTTTAAATATCTCCTTCTCATAATACAATCCACAAATTTTTCTGCTTGTCACTGACAACAATGTACATCAATCAGTACCGTCGACGCAGTTATGAATTAATACGAAACTTGATGAGTGGACAAACGTCAAAACGGCCATCATACCGTGCCGGTACTTTAGTAATAAACATTGTATGAATAGTCAGTAAGAATTGAAATATACTCAGTCAACAACTACCATCTGATTTTAATTCAACTCCTGCTTAGTGACGTACTACTACCCGCAACTCCTATCACTGTGGCCAAGGCACACTTGGCCATCAGTAGATCGGTCTTGTGAGTCTGCTGGACTGGCAGTGAGAATTCCAGTACACATTGCACGACGTGTACTTCCGTACCTCCTACAAAACTTCCGTTTGTCACCTTAGATCTCCTGGTGACAGACTTCCCGTTCATATCTTGTATATATTCTCCATCTATATATTTTAAGTTAAGTTAGGCTACACACCGTTAGGTTGTAGGGTTATACTAAATAAATCGCACGGACGGTTCTTGAGGTCTCAACGTTAGGTTCAATAGGGTAGTTTTTTATCTTGACCTACACACAGCAGGCGGTTGGTATTTGCTACATACGCCACCACACACTACTTTGACAGACACTACCACCACATAAATACCTAACCGCACGCTGTTCACAGAACACAAATGCTTTTAATAGTGAGAATCCACAGGCATCGAGTATATGACAGAGAATGTCATAAAAAGCATTTAGAAAGGTTGGAGAGTCAATTGAGAGCGAATCCCAAATTGTTTTGGGCACATGTAAAAGCTAAGCGTGGTGGATCTAGTACATACCCCATTTCTATGACTGATGGTTCTTATAAAACATCTGATGTTGCTGAAGTCTGTGAATTATTTGCGTCTAATTTTTCTAGTATTTGTGATTTTACAGGTGGCAATATTTTGGGGGGAAATTGCTGTATAGAGGAATCGTCATCTCTAAAATTCATGGAAATAAATAGTCAGGGTTTTGATGTACCATTAATAGAACTAGAAACTATTGAAAGAACTCTTAAAACACTAGATAAAAATAAGGGAGCCGGGCCTAGGGGTGTTATTTCATCAATAACACCTCTGTTTATTACTTCTTGTGCGTCGCAGTTGGCCCAACCTCTTTATTTAATATACAATAAATCTTTAGCTACTGGTATGTTCCCTTATATTTGGAAAAGAGCTAAAGTCGTTCCTATTTACAAGTCGGGTGATAATAGCCTAACAACGAATTATAGGCCAATATCGATTTTGTGTATATTTGCCAAGATTTTGGAATCTCTCCTTTGCACGCATATTCGTAGACATTTTAATTTTTATCTTAGCAACTTTCAACATGGTTTTGTTAGTGC